TATTTCCTTAGGAATGAGTCATCCAGGAAGAAATTCCCTTGTGGGTTGTGTATACTTGAAGGTACAAACCGTGAATTGACTATGCAGACAAAGATTCCTGGATATTTGCGTAAGCATTGTTTACGTGAATCTATCTTTCGTTTTTCAGTTTCGGTTTCAAAGTACAGATTCACATTTAGACAGATTTCAGGAAAGCATACGGTTTTAGTGAGCTGGTACAATGTCATGTCTAAAACTGTAGCTGAGAGGAACAGTTGATGGTTAGGTTTGTCATCTAGCTAATTGAGCTAATTGGGGAAAGCCTTCGCAGGTGGAGATGGTCATTTTGTATTCTTCTGTATTGTAGGACTGGATGAGTTTGTATAGTGGGCACGACAAGCAGATAGGTCGGGATGCAGCGCACGACTGGGTTTGCTGAGTATCTTGTGGACAAAATTCTCACAGGAAGTAGTATGATGATCGCACAATTTTGCAATTGCAGTAACTATGGCAATAAGAAAAACAAACCACGGCAAAGAAAAATGAAATTCTTTTTAGATTGGCCAGGGTAAATAACGAGCAAAGAATGAGGCATGATAGTAAAAACGCGCTGCTAAGCGAACAAAAATGTAGTGGAATGTTTCACGCTAAATTATCGTCGTTTGTGTACCTGAATGGATAAGCGACTAAGTGTACAAACGCAGACTTGCACATAAAACAACGACCTTAGATCGCTCTTGCTACGTACGCATTCGTCTACCAGATCCCATTGCTCGTCCAATCACGTGACACAGGTGTTCACGACAGACACTGACTAATACCCCTCCAATCCGTTTTGTCCATGCGCCAGTTTGACCTAGTTGTTGGTCATCGTCTAATCGATTGATGTACACTCACTATCAATCATTGAATCGTTAACCCGATTCCGGGCCGCACGCAGTCTATAGTCTGTTCTGATTTTCTGTGTTGGGTTGCGGGCCCTAAGCTACGGTGCATAGCGTGGCGGCTGGAATTCGGTTTTAACAGTTCCTTATGGCAACTCCTAGGTATTTGGCGGTGCATATTCTGATAATGTTTGAGGTAGTGATGACTGAGGGTTCCGAGGGATACTCAATCACGGAGGGACTAAAAACGCTTTCGAAGCACCAGATATTTAACAGGGAGTCTGGATTGATAAAAAAATACCAGCAGTTGTGATTAACTGTCATAGAATAATTGTATATGAGATTAGCTTCAGATACCTGGACATCAGTCAGCATCATCAGCATATTTAAAGGTTTTGACTAGAGGCTTTGGTGGTAATTCATCGATGCATATTTAAAATTACTATGGGACAAACACAGCACTCTGGAGGACACCAAAACCATTCACTAACGGTTTTGAAATGGTGCGTTTGCTTTCATTCTTCGAACTCATCCTATCTAATACTCTTCAGACCAGGGCAATTAAGGGGTAAAGAAACCGACTGATTGTAACTTTCGGAGCAGAAGGGATATTGGAACGGAATCATAAGCGGAAGAACAGTCAACGAAAACTCAACAAACGGATTATTGGGAATCATCTAAAGATTTACCAATAAACCGCATCAGTGAAAAGACAGTCTCCAAATTATATCTGTTTGAATTGTACGCCAAATTAAGGAGTTTATTTTGATCAATAATACCAGGCCACAAAATAATCAAAATGGCGGGCTCTATTATCGCTCGGGTTGCCAGTCGAATGATGGTTGTCCCGTAGGTTCCCGCCGTTACATGAAACTATTTGTTCTACAAAGACTTTTTAATCTTTAGCAAAGTGTTATATACCCTTAGAAAGCCATTGCTATGCTCTACACGATTAAAGTAATTGTTGTTACCTATATTACTTTTTTTTGTTTTTTAGCACCTTCAAATGGATTGTTAGGCCGACAAAAAGGAGCACTTTTGACACACTCTTTTCACCTTTAATCGAGATCAAAACGGGAGTGAAGCTACCAGAGGTATTTGTGCCGTGTATGCAGAGGACGCTACATCTGAGAGAACTGCTCGAGATTGGTGTGCCAGGTTCAAACACGATAAGTTCGACCTCAGCCACGCTCCTCGTTCCGAAGGACCAGTCGAAATGGATGAGGACAAATTCAGGGAACTTTTGAAGGAAAATGGCTGCTTGACATGCAGCTAATTGGGCGAAAATATGAACTGTGCTTTTGCAAAAATTTCATGCCACCTTTGGTCGATGGGTTTCACTCTAAAGCTTGGAGCTTGGGTCCCGCACGAACTCACCCAAAGGCAGAAAGATAAGAGGCTTTCCAGTGCTGCTCAAAATCTTGCTCGACACCACACCAAGGAACCAACAGGCCACAGGCAACGTTTCTTATAAAGAATCGTCACTGGAGACGAGAAATGGTGTCTCTATGTGAATATGAAGCAAAGGAAACAGTGGGTGAGTCCTGGAGAGAGGCCTAAGCCTAGGATCAAGAAAGACCTGCACCCGATGAAGATAATGATTTGCAAATGGTGGGATTGGAAAGGACTAATCCACTGGGAAATGCTTGAAAAGAACATGACAGTAGAGAACAATCTCTATAAAGCGCAACTGCATCGATTTATTGAGGGAATTCAAGAAAAAAGGCCGCATCGTCAAGGCCAGGTGATCCTCCTCCATGACGATGCTCACATACCGCAAAAACTGATACAACAACCCAATTATACACAATGCATTCTCCGTGCGAAAGAAATGCCCTTATTGGAATACAAGGACATAATTCGAACTGGAGAATATACAGTTGACCTCGAATCAAGGTGGTGTTTCGTTCCTTGGAAACCGCAAATAAATGCTTCGCCGTTCAACCAGCAGGTTCAATGTTATTGGTACACCGAGGCTGGTGGATAAATATCAGTGATGTCAACAAAAGCCGTTTCTTTCTGTCTTTATATTTGAGAATAGGATTAGCTAATAACCGTTGACAGGGCTTGGCTTTAAATGCAACCCCTGTCTATCACGATATGTACCTTGAGAGGGAAACTGATGAACTGAGTTTACCTATAAACCCCCTTTCCCGTAACTGTTCAGTTTCATTTATGATAAATACCTGTAGAGTGTTGCAACTGACCTGCACGCCTCACCCAACAGGAGTTGCAATGCTTTTGTGTTGTGTACAAAAAGTTGTTTGGTTCTACATAGCAAATATTCCTCTTTCGCGATCGGCCTTCATTTTGAGCATTTACATGTCAAGTGTGTATTTTTGTTTGGATTGTTAGTGACGGTTAAAAGAATGCTAATATATTTCTCTTGGTGAATAGTGTATTTTTACTGCGTTGTAGATTGAACAGATTGACAGATTGAACGTATCTGTGTGAACTCAGTTTCAATTGAAAAACAGGACACTTCAACTGTTTTGTATTGAATGCAATATTGATAAATTGTTACCGTTGACGGGTTTTTTGTTTAATTTCTTCTGAGCCAAGAGCTTTCTCTCACTTTAGGTTACAACTGTTCGTCAACAAATAGAATATACTTTTACTTATTACTCGATCTCGGAGAACTTATAGGTTACAGTTAACCAGGTTGAGCGAATATTTCATTTCGTTTCTCGACCATCAACACTGGTTGATCCTCAATTCTGAATCGAGTTTCTCTCCCCAACTTTTCATCATTAACAAAATTTGTTACCAAAAGCTGTATTCAATCGTTATCTGCAGTCTTTCAGAATACTTTACAAAAATTATAAACATGATTTCTCGAAAATATTCAAAATACCAATTCTATTTTATGAGTTGTTCAGCAGGTACACTGGAGCTGAAAAAGAACGAAAAACACTGAAGAATATAATGCTCAATCAGCTCATTTACTCAGTTTTATATAGAGAATATATTTCACATACATTGTAACATATTTCTTGCTAAGCTGTCACTTATTCTGCCGGAGATGGGTAGTCACTTTTGTCTATGGAGATCAGTGAAAAGTGTCGGTGATTCGAACTGGAAGTTCTCACAGTCTTCTCAAAACAAAAATGACGGTAAAATAATCCTGCTAAATGATAAATTAAACGACTCCGTGACTATATGGCATGCCTCGGGTTAATTCAAAATTCAATATTTCAAACGGCAGTAGACAAATAATTGCACACATTTACCATACTGCAATAAAAAGAGATCAGCGGTTGAATGTAGTTTTCAAATATGGTATTTACAAACCAAGTTACCACGACTAGTGCCAAAGGTATCCAACGACCATAAGCAGTAGCACTGAGATATGCGGATGGAGTCGACCAGCTAAAAAACAACGACAACAACAACGGTAATGGTCAGAATTTATCTACAGTTAATGCAGAGCCTTTGGTACTTAAATAAAGCTAGGTTACAGGTTACTAATTGAGACCTACCCGAATCACCAATGATCTTGGCTTGAACGTCATCAGAGTAACCAAACCCGCTCCTTGAGCCTGACTCTTTCAGAAGTTCAATCAAATCTCCTACTGACACATGTTCATCGTTCAGAGTTAATCCAGTAGTTGCCATGACCTTGTCGGCTGTTTTTGACGTAGATTCTGCACTTCGTCTAATCCTAGCACCAGTTATCTTACGGTTCAACATAAGAACAGAACAACCGGACGTGGAATAAAAGGAACTTAAAGCGTTTTTCACCTAAATTAGAAAGAAAGAAAAAAGCATGAAAGAATTAATTAGTCCGACGCACAATGTAAAATACTTCTGCAATGCTTCACACTCAATTAGGCAAATTTTCAGTAAGGGGAGTCAGACTCACGTTTGAACAGAGCTGCGATGACAAATTTCTAAACTCCTGACTTGTATTATATGCATACTGGGATAACCACGGGGCAGGTTGTCCATTGAATGAAACAGTTCCGGATAGTTGAAGCTCTGAAAAAAAAAACAAATTCAGGGATATATCTGATCATTCAGGCAAGCGAAATAGCAAGCGAAAAAATACAAAAGAAAAATCACCGATCGAAAGTGATAAAAATAACAAAAGCGCCAAAAGTATATGTTGACAATCAAAAACATTGAAAGAAAAAATAACTAACCAGTACAAACTGCGGCTGAACGAAGGGGAAAGAGAGAAAAAAAATAAAATATATAGAAGAAAGCCATCAAAGAAACAATACGTGAAGTATTCAATGCGGCAAAAACCAAACAGCAATCTTATACCCGAGACATAAAAAACACGAGCGGGAAGACGGACAAAAACCGGGAAACAAGGACTCACATGGGTCACACTTGGTAGGCGAAAGAGGCGGATAAGTGGAAACAGGCAAATCGGTGGAAAGGGAAGCAGGAAACGACGAGACGCTATCATTGAAGTCTACGCCAGTCACGTGTTCGTCAGACGTGATTGGATCGGTGGCTGGAGCTGCATCAGTCCACGCACTGCTCTCGCTGCTATCCGTGCCAGTCACGCCTTCGTCAGACGTGTGTGGATCGGTGGCTAGAGTTGCATCAGTTCGAACACTGCTCTCGCTGCTATCCGTGCCAGTCACGCCTTCTTCAGACGTGTGTGTATCCGTGGATAGAACTGCATCAGTCCACGCACTGCTCTCGCTGCTATCCGCGCCATTCACGGCTTCGTCAGACGTTTGTGGATCGGTGGTTGGAGCTGCATCTGTTCGAACACTGCTCTCGCTGCTATCCGTGCCACTCATGGCTTCGTCAGACGTGTGTGGAGTGTTTGTTGGACGTGCTTGCATTATCGTGTTTATTTCGGCTTCCCGGCCAGTGATTTGTTGTTCTGGAATTAGAAATAAATTTTGGGAATATCACTGTGTCATTTTTTTTCATGTTTCTTTTAGTCCTCTTAGTGCGGTTTTGCTGGCCCTTTTTAATGCATATGTTATAGTAAAGGCAACGTACCTTGAGGAATGTATTTTGCTGTACATGCAGCAATTAACAGTAATAATATAATGGTATTCTGCTTCATGGCTACCTCAATTTTTTCGAGTTTACCGTTCCTAGTCTTGCATTTTTTCTCCAATATATACTCTGTTTACTTGTTAAAGGCGGACTCATTACTTTCGTAGCTTCCAATCAAATGCGCATTCAATTGCCTCTGGCGCTTATTGTTTTTGCAATAGAGCGTGTACAGACATACTCTGCGTGCTTCAGTTTTCTTTGTGACATCCTTTACAGCTTCTTTATCCATGCTTCCAGCGTCATCGTATTGCGTGTTGCATTGTGTCTTTGTGATCGCAAGTGCACTTTAGTTTCGTTTGTTCTGAGATTTATTAGTAATCGGCTTCTCTTTTCTACTAATTTTGAAATTCTTCTGTTGGTATCCTGAACGTCGCCTTGGATAATTCTTTCCATTTTCTCTACTAATGCTGCTCATTTTTTGATTGATTAGAACACCACCTGGCGTTTTTGAGTGATAACAAAGTTTGACGAAATGGACCTCCGTGTTGTTTAGTGAATTCCAGGATAGTGAACCTAGGTGATGTTTGTTCGTCCTATCTGCTCATTGCCATTTGCAATTTGGTGTTCAACAATCAAAACGATTGTATAATTTTATCGGAAACAAATTCTTTACTTTAGATAATCACTGCTTGACATTGTACCTGGTTGAACTACGTTTTTTCCTCACAAAATAGTAATCAATCTTGACCATTAGTTTTTTATTCATCTATTCAAACTTAATGAAATGTTTTGGCTTATAATTTTTGTTTATGCTTGCCATCCTTGGTAGAAACCAGTTTTACCAATTAGCATAAGGGAGCTTTCCAAAAACCGCTCTACAACACTATGGCTAAACTGAAATTAGGACTCCCAATGGATGAGGTGCAATAAACCCTACCGTAGGAAACAGGAGCTCTTTAATGAGTCAACAATCATTTAGACGTCTTTAAAATTGTAATAACTCTTTCGTCTGGACCTGTGTTGCCATCGCGAGGGTGAGATCGTTGCCAGACAGTGAGCAATCGAATGAAAGGTATTTTTCACCAAATGACTGTCTGTCGTCTCAAATATTTCGCAATCTGAATGTATGAATAACTTTCTACTCTAATACGAGCAAACTGTCTTTTTCTTACTCTGTGAACAAATTGATAGTTAGGTTGAAAAAACCAGAGTGAATGATAAATTATCACGGTAACAGTCTCGAATGGCATACAAAGCCGAATACTCTTGCTCTAGTTACATAGGTGTTGACAATGATGTATTCTTAAAGATTAGATATCTGGTCTCAATGTCATGTATTGTTCCTAATTTCTCATCGTTTCCGTTTTGCTTTGATAGCTGAATTGTTGTAAGATCAACAACATCGGTGTGTTTGTGTTAATAGATTGATCAAGACAGGGTCTGAAAAGTTAACTTGTCCTTGCTATAACATTGGTTGCAGTTAATTTGGAGAGCACGCATAAATGTCTGTCTGAATTGTGCCGTGCAAACCTCGTTTACTTTCCTCGTCATATGTCTTGCAATTAAATATAAGTTTGATACCAAATGCACACTTCCTAATCCCAACGGAATAGTTATCAACCTCAGATGTTCTATACGGGAAACAGAACACGCTTTCANCTATCTGTGAGAACCATCTGAAGTTCACTGAAAGCAGCTTCTCGTCTAGTTCAACGGTGTTTTTGTTTACGTCATGGGCAGATACATACCTAAAGTTTACTCGCTCATAAATCACGTTGATTATCTTATAGTTTGAAGTGCAACATCGATATTTTACACCATTTTATGAATCCATTTCTGTGGTTATCTTATTATTGTCAGAAACCCAACCTTGTTTCGGTCATTTTCAGTTCCTTTAAAGTTCTCCTTCAGTCTCCGGAAAGCTAATGCTTGTAACCTCTTTCTTGGCTAGGTCTCTCTAACCACGATATTCAGATGATGCAACTACTCTTCGGATATCTTGTTTCCACCACTGAAGTTACATCGTATATTGTAACTGCGCATTTTAGATATCTTGTCTATGGAAGCAGAAGACAGTATGGTGGCTGGGCCCGAAACTTCCTTTCGC